GAGGGACAAGCAGGGACAGAGGGACAAGGCAGGAAGGGAGGGACAAGCAGGGACAGAGGGACAATGTGGGGAGAGAGGGACAAGGCAGGGACAGAGGGACAAGGCAGGGAGGGAGGGACAAGCAGGGACAGAGGGACAAGCAGGGACAGAGGGACAGCCCGATCTCTGCCGAGGAGCCCCCGGCCCCTGCAGCAGCCCCCAGGGGGCACAGGGTCCCCCAGAACCCCAGTGCCCCCCTGTCCCTCCAGGCAGGGCCTGAGCTCCCATTGTTCCGTCCCTCCTCCCCCTCCTCGGCAGAGCCAGCGGCTCCTCTCTGGGGGACGCGGCGGGGCTGTCAGGCTGAGGCTTCCAATTCTCTGTTTTTTATGCCTCAGTGGTCAGGGTGTCAAGCTCCTGCAGTACAGACCAGCCAGGAGCTCGAGGAGTCACTGAGCACCATCAGCTCGGTGACAGTGCTGCTGCTTCTTAACATACTCTGCATATCCATCAGCCTTGCGGGGGAACAGAGGGAGAGGAGGGGGGCAGGAGGGAAAGGAGAGAGAAGACAGAGGAGGGGAGTGGGGAAAGGGAGAAGTGGGGGGGAAGGTCTCGAGCCCTGCAGCTCCCGTCGCAGAGCGAGGAGAGAAATTGGAGCCGGCGGGAGAGAGGGATGTGGGAGTGGGATGTGGGGACTGGGATGTGGGGAGGGAGTGGGATGTGGGGAGTGGGATGTGGGGAGGGAGTGGGATGTGGGGAGTGGGATGTGGGGAGGGAGTGGGATGTGGGGAGTGGGATGTGGGGAGGGAGTGGGATGTGGGGAGTGGGATGTGGGGAGGGAGTGGGATGTAGGAAGACAGTGGGATGGAGGAAATGAAGGAGGGGAGTGGAATGCAGGAAGAGAGTGGGATGGAGGAAGGGAGTGGGATGGAAGAAGGGAGTGGGATGTAGGAAATGTAGGAAGGGAGTCTGATGCAGGGGGTGTGGGGGGGGAGTGGGAGGTGGGGAGGGAGTGGGATGTGGGGAGGGAGTGGGATGTGGGGACTGGGATGTGGGGAGTGGGATGTGGGGAGGGAGTGGGATGTGGGGAGTGGGATGTGGGGAGGGAGTGGGATGTAGGAAGACAGTGGGATGGAGGAAATGAAGGAGGGGAGTGGAATGCAGGAAGAGAGTGGGATGGAGGAAGGGAGTGGGATGGAAGAAGGGAGTGGGATGTAGGAAATGTAGGAAGGGAGTCTGATGCAGGAAGAGAATGGGATGAAGGAAGGGAGTGGGATGTAGGAAGAGAATGGGATGTAGGAAGGGAGTGGGATGGAGGAAGGGAGTGGGATGCAGGAAGCCCTGGGAGATGCCCTCCACCAGGAGCTGGGGGATAGAGGCACAGCCCCTGCTCCACGGGGTGAGCCCTGCAAACCAAGTCTGGTGGTGCTGGATGGACCCAGCACTGCAGAAGAGGCACCTTCCCTGTGCATTAACCACTCCTGCCAACCTGTCTGTGTAGATTTAAGGTCAACTTCCCTCAAGTTTCATTTCCAACATGCAGAAAAGCTGAAAAGCCTGAGCTTAAAAATGTCAGGAAGCAGAAGATGGAGAGAGAGGTTTTGTGGTGTCTCTGCACCTGCCACAGCTTCAGAGCTGCTGGTGGGTGGGGGGAGTAGGACACGGGTACTGGGGCTGGACAGGGGGCAGCTCCCTCTAAACCTCCCCATGAAAGAGCAGCAGGATGGACAGACAGGCAAAGGCACATCAGGCAGCACGGGATGGACAGACCCAGGGTTAGTCCCAGCCAGCTTTGGACCTTGGGAAAAAGGAGGGGGATGCAAATTATTTGCCATCTTTTGTTTCCAACCAGTGATGCTGCAACCACAGAGCAAGGTAAGTAAAGGGGCCTTTGTGGGTTACCTGCTCCAAACCCTGCCTCAAAGCAGGGACAGCCTGGACACCAGCTGTGTCCAGCCAAGGGGTGGAAATCTCCCAGGATGGAGATGTCACATCTTCCTCGGGCCCCTGCTCCAAAGCCTAGCCCGTCACTGGACAGATCACCCCAATGCTGTTCCCTTAGGGAGCACAACAGCAACAGATCTGCCCTTTAGCCTTGTCCTCTTAGGACCATGTGGCCCTGAAGACCAGCAAAAACCAGGAGCCCAATCCAGCACAGAACACGCTCGTTACCACCTCACACCTCATTACACCTTTGGGCTGAAACACAAGATTTGAATAAACGCTCAGCAAAGAAGTTTCA